CTCATGGCTATTAGCCAATGAAACCCTCTTATTGCACTGAGAGGATAGAATACCCATTATCATTAGCCGGTAGATGCTTGGCAATCCCCAAGACCAGGTAAACAAGGATAGACAACACTTTGGATCAATCCACAAACTACTCATCTGGACACATATTCCACGAAGGTTTTGCCACAGTTGACGTCACTAACTTTATATCACGCACTAACAAACATGAAGACATACTGTGCAATGAAATGTCTGTACAAACCTTGAATTATGGCAGCAGTACTAGCTATACTATGCCATTACATTTCTGCTGTGGAAAACAATGAACTCATCTACCATTTTCGCCATTGACAATGACATACGCTGCGTAAAGTCAATTCTCTACAGTAAGTACTTGACATGCAGACAATGGATGCGAGTTCAATGTAAACAGCTATGGCAGAAGGCCCCTGTCAGTCTGGCCTCGATGGATAGCTGTGCCTGCCAGTGTTCTAGGAACACTGATTCACACTGAAAAATTTAGATATTTCCTTTTATCTTGTCTTTCTTTCTTGGCTTCCAGGACTGTAATGTGGATCTGGTTAGCAATAGCAAGCATGGGACTCTTAAGACTAGCAGGGAAAACATATACATATTAGAGAAATAAATGGCAGTTTTTACCTCTGCTTGTGGATTTGGAGTGCTTGTGCATTTGTAAAGTGCATGTTTCTGAGTGTTTACTAATCTTCTGCATACTATTGACTAACTGTATGTGCTGAGTGTTTGCCGAGAAAAAAGCTGAAGTCAAGGCTCTTCTTTTTCAATGAGTTATTTCCCCTTCACCTTAAGTGGATTCTGTGATGAGTCAATGTGTGGAAACAGAATAGAAAACAGATGAGCAGGTCTCAGAGTGACTACTACCCTGCTGGGCCTTAGCTGCTTAATGACGGACATCCTACTTACAAGTTGCCTTTAAAAAGATCTCTGAGAAAACTGCCTCAAAAGCATGGTTAGGCAATTTCCCCCTCTCTTCCTTAATTCCAGTCATGTACAGTGAGGAAAAAAAGTATTTGATCCCCTGCTGATTTTGTACATTTGCCCACTGACAAAGACATGATCAGTCTATAATTTTAATGGTAGGTTTATTTGAACAGTGAGAGACAGAATAACAACAAAAAAATCCAGAAAAACGCATGTCAAAAATGTTAGAAATTGATTTGCATTTTAATGAGGGAAATAAGTATTTGACCCCTCTGCAAAACATGACATAGTACTTGGTGGCAAAACTCTTGTTGGCAATCACAGAGGTCAGACGTTTCTTGTAGTTGGCCACCAGGTTTGCACACATCTCAGGAGGGATTTTGTCCCACTCCTCTTTGCAGATCTTCTCCAAGTCATTAAGGTTTCAAGGCTGACGTTTGGCAACTCGAACCTTCAGCTCCCTCCACAGATTTTCTATGGGATTAAGGTCTGGAGACTGGCTAGGCCACTCCAGGACCTTAATGTGCTTCTTCTTGAGCCACTCCTTTGTTGCCTTGGCCGTGTGTTTTGGGTCATTGTCATGCTGGAATACCCATCCACGACCCATTTTCAATGCCCTGGCTGAGGGAAGGAGGTTCTCACCCAAGATTTGACGGTACATTGCCCCGTCCATCGTCCCTTTGATACGGTGAAGTTGTCCTGTCCCCTTAGCAGAAAAACACCCCCAAAGCATAATGTTTCCACCTTCATGTTTGACGGTGGGGATGGTGTTCTTGGGGTCATAGGCAGCATTCCTCCTCCTCCAAACACGGCGAGTTGAGTTGATGCCAAAGACCTCGATTTTGGTCTCATCTGACCACAACACTTTCACTGAGTTCTCCTCTGAATCATTCAGATGTTCATTGGCAAACTTCAGATGGGCCTGTATATGTGCTTTCTTGAGCAGGGGGACCTTGCAGGCGCTACAGGATTTCAGTCCTTCACGGCGTAGTGTGTTACCAATTGTTTTCTTGGTGACTATGGTCCCAGCTGCCTTGAGATCATTGACAAGATCCTCCCGTGTAGTTCTGGGCTGATTCCTCACCATTCTCTTGATCATCGCAACTCCACGAGGTGAGATCTTGCATGGAGACCCAAGCCGAGGGAGATTGACAGTTCTCCCATTTGCAAATAATCGCACCAACTGTTGTCACCTTCTCACCAAGCTGCTTGGCGATGGTCTTGTAGCCCATTCCAGCCTTGTGTAGGTCTACAATCTTGTCCCTGACATCCTTGGAGAGCTCTTTGGTCTTGGCCATGGTGGAGAGTTTGGAATCTGATTGATTGATTGCTTCTGTGGACAGGTGTCTTTTATACAGGTAACAAGCTGAGATTAGGAGCACTCCCTTTAAGAGTGTGCTCCTAATCTCAGCTCGTTACCTGTATAAAAGACACCTGGGAGCCAGAAATCTTTCTGATTGAGAGGGGGTCAAATACTTATTTCCCTCATTAAAATGCAAATCAATTCATAACATTTTTGACATGTGTTTTTCTGGATTATTTTGTTGTTATTCTGTCTCTCACTGTTCAAATAAACCTACCATTAAAATTATAGACTGATAATTTCTTTGTCAGTGGGCAAACGTACAAAATCAGCAGGGGATCAAATACCTTTCTCCCTCACTGTACAGAGAGGCTTTTATTAAAGGGTAATCCATTTTGCAGACATGATACACAACAGATATTTATGTACTGTTTCTTTTGGGGATGAATAAGAGCCCCGTGACTTTTGACTGTGTGGAAGTAATCAATCTTAAAATAAAACGAAAGAGCGATTAAAAGGAATATTCATTATTATCGAATAATGTGTTGCCACTTGCCGTGTTTGAACTTTCCCTCGAGGCACTAGTCCAGACAACACATAATCTCAACCGTAGGTGTCAGCAGCTTGAATATCAATTAGCTTAGTCTCGGAAACAGGAATTCATCCATGTGAATGATTTGACAACTGAGCTGCATTTTCTCACACTTCGGTAATTTAATACAATAAAGATGAAGGGGGTGTAGAATCCAGGGAGAATGTCATTGGTTTTTGAAAAAGGTTCAACCCTGTTATCGCCAACCATTCATCACAGCACTGATACCGGTCACAGGGGCATAGCAGCGTGTGCAATGGATGATCAGATTTTTATTACAATAACCATTTTCTGATGTCTATCCAGCCTGCCTCTATCCATAGAAAGGGCTGACCATATAATTTGAATTCTAATTATACGTGTGCTACATTCACTGTCTGCAGTGATTTACAGTTTATTTTTGCATTCGTTATCATAAATGTGGTACACACTATACTGATTGCAATTTACAAGACAACAAAAGTATGCCATGAAACAAAGATTAATGCATTGCATTGCCAGTAAATGCAGTAAATATATTGTCAAATAGTAAACTATGTCAAAAGATGATAGTTTGTGTGACAAAGACAACAGCTTGTATGTTGTATTTAAATAATTTAATTTTTTTCTCTGAAATCAAAACCCCCTTTCCGTCTTAATGAGCTCAATTTCGTTTCCAAAACTCTAAATAATTAATGTTTCTCTGATCATCTCCATACATAATGAATGCCACCCATAATTAATTATTTAGCCAGTCATGCTTTTGGACTCAACCGATCCCTTTGGCCATGTGCAGGCAAGGACACAAATGGGTCTTTGATATCTTACAGTAACATGGCGAGGTCCATGCATCATTGCCAGCAAAACCAAGGCAACATTTACTCAACTGAAACAAAATAACTAATTGACTAGAGGGTGAACCTGCAACATTGTTGTCCCAAGTTCAAAATATAATTACTGTGTCTTGTTTTTCATAGATGTGTATGTACACCTTTGTCACAAGTTTATTATGCTGTCTGTTCATCAACTCCCTTTTCATTGGGGTCAACATGTTACGAGTACATTATGCTACGCTTTATAATCCACCCACTGCCAATATTACACCAATAAACCACTAAATAATTTTAGTACTTGTATTGAGCAATGTGAACAATGTGAACTGCAACTCCCTCAATTCCATGAAATATGAAAAAAGTCCTCCTGACATTGCAAACAACATGAATATACCCTAACAACAATTCACTCATCCCTGAGGAATAGTATTAGCAGCATAATTAACCTGTAATTAAGCAAAGATCTAAGTTGCTTGTTCTTATTGGTAATTACGGTGAAACAGTTTAATCATGTTTACTTTATATATTGTAACACAGAAATGAACAACTCAATAGTATTTTAAACTAAAATGTACACGTGGATGTCTCTTCTAAAAAGAATGAAGCATTATCATACATTTCAAATTTAAAATAACAACTGCCAGCATCAACAAATGTAAAGTGATCAATTGACAATGTTTTAAAATACATGCAGTAACAGTGCCCCCATCAGCTCAGTTAAGGAATTCACTCTAACATGTATAAAGTGAATACAACTCATGTACAGTTAATATAATGCTGCCAAAAACATCATGCAAAACCAACATAATGTCATCTCTGTGAGAAATTGTTCCAGTATTAACAAAAATGAAGAAATTCTGACTAAAAGAAAATAGCTTACTGGTTTTCAGAACAAATGCAGAATCAGTGAAATCCACAGCCTGGCCCATGACTGGAAAATTGGGCAGCTGCTACATCAACTCTGTACCCTCCCCAAAGTCCAGTCAGTCGTTTAATACACCAACAGTGGTTACAACTCAGGCTGAGGAAAGAAACACAACATTGACAACATGATAAAAACTAAAACAATTGCAGAATCAGTTCTACTTTGCTTTTGCTCACTGACAGGTAAGAAGGCAAGCCATGATGGGAGTAGAAACTTAATTGGGCCTTCATATTCATTATACATGTTTGAGTTTATGGTAACAATGTATTGAAACACAGTAGGCCTACATGCCGAGTATCAACCTGTCACATCACAGTACTCATCCTTCCATCAGCAGAACAACTATGACAGAGACTAGGTTGATACTGTTGTGTAATATTGAATGGTCTGCCAGCTGTTTTCTCATATGCTGTTTCTCAGGAGGAAGATGTTGGGAATAATAGCTACTCCTCATCCAAACAGCTCTCTACTCAGCTTCAGGTATGGATACCTTCATCATTCATTGAATTGTGTGTAAAATACTGTTAAATCTATTCAATCAAGGAAACTTGAGCACCATCGTCCACTTTTACCGATGTTGCAATGTTGATCAATTGCTCCGGGTAAATCTAGCTTGACGTTGACATGTTTTGGTACTTGGATTTCAAACAGATGAATGGCATCTCTTTCCATCTGACATCTCCTTCCACATGACATATCTTTCCATATGTAAACAGGAAGCAGCACAATATGCTGAAAACGTTCCTAGCCAGTGGAGCGATAACTAGACTGCTGTTGTGCTGAACTCGCTGCGAACACTGACAGACAGTCTACAGAAACATTAAAAAAACAGTTAAGAGTCTTGAGCAAACACTGATCTGTGTGCAATAAGAATTATGTTGCTGATTACGACTTTATTGGGCGCAAATAAGCTATGGCAGAGCAAATGGCCTCATTTTGTGTAACCCATAATTACAATGGCTTTACTTTGTGTCTTTCTAAAGGTATTACTTAAGTAATTATTGTGTTACTGTGTATGTTTTCCTCATATAGTTTGCAAGGAGTTTGAGCCCAAACAGTGTCCAGCTGCAGTAGCCCAGAGTAAAGGAGGACTTGTGTGTGTCAGCATCAACAAGAAGTGTTATTGTAAACACATGAGCAATGAGGTACTCTTTCCTGTAACATCACAGGCCTATGAGCTAAAAGCCTCTCATACTCACACTTTCTACAAAAAAATAGTTTCTACAGAAATACAATTAAAGGAATAACAAATTAGGAACAAGAAAATTAAATAGAAATGTTTGGTTCTTAAATCATTATTTGCCATATTTGCCAAATTCATTACACAGGGCTATGATTGTGTGTTCTTGAGCAGAAGTCATCTGTATGGGGAGTGCAGTACAGACACCAGACACAAATGGACAATCCATTACATCGGAGGGAACAAGCTGGCCGTTTGCAACAGAAAGTCCCCTCTGTAAAGCCTCTGTAAAGGTTCTCTTTAACTCCACAGAAAGGCCATGGTGCACAGCCTGTACAGCTGGAATATTTAACACTGTAACTAAATCATCCTCTAATTCTGGTGTAAAGTCTTAAAGGCCCAGTGCAGTCAGAAACGTGATTTTCCTGTGTTTTATATACGTTTCCACACCATGAGGTTGGAAAAATACTGTGAAATTGTGAAAATTATTATATTTTAGTGTAAGAGCTGTTTAAAAAGACCTTTGGCCTGCCTGGTGACATCACCATGCAGTTCATTAGTTAATAGACCAATAACAAATAAACTTCCAAACCACTCTGCCAATAACAGCTCATTTTCAGTTTTCCTCTTCCCACTCAGACACTCCCAGACAATCCTAGCAAAATTCTTGCTTGAGAAATTCCCCTTTGCTAAGAAGCTATTTTTGTTTGAAAGCAATCACAGTAAGATACTTAATTGTTACCCAGAAATGATTTGATATTGAGATAAAAATGGCTGCATTGGACCTTTAAGTCATATTGAAATAAGGATATGTTTCAAAGTCAATGCTTTTCAAAAGTCCTAAAAGTGTGTGTCCCTTTGTCTATGCAAAATCCTCAAGTCCTATTGCAGGAGCTGAAACAGCCTACTTTCCCAAGGACCAGGACTGCCTGACGACCAAGAGTTACAATGATCTTGAGGCTAAGCTCATTCAATGAGCTGAAGAGCAAAAAGCCCATGGAGGGAGAGCCAGAATATGCCTGTCTCGTCTGTGGATAACCTTAACAGAGAGGAGTGAGACTAGAGGGGAAAGCTTCAGTTAGTCGTTGAAGTTGCCAGAGATTTTTTTTTGTAATTTAGCAGATGCTCTTATCCAGAGCGACTTACAGTTAGTGAGTGCATACATTTTTCATACAGAGATAAGATTCATTTTCCTCTGCTACGACAATCCTTGCACTATCACTAGCTGCTAACACTCAACATTAATGAGGAGAAAAATGCAGAAGCTTGACATCATTGTGCTCAGCAGAACTGAAGTATGGAAGAAATGTTAACGAAATGAGGAGATTAATCGTTTAATGTCAAATGCACATATTTTTATTTTGTCATCACTACTTTATTTTTCTGACTTTCTGTAGCAACATTACTTTGTGTGTCAATATTTCTCTAACAACCAGCACCTCAGGTTTAGGTGTCAGACAGAGTGGGTGGATTTGTTGCATACATATTCACTTCTACTTTTAGACACCAAACGTTTTTCACGCAGGTTGCATATGTCTTATTTGATGTGCTTTAAATTCAAATAAAAAATGCAGTTGTTAAATGGTCAGACTACCGCAATCTCAAAGGATATAAAATAAGCATTTTCAAATCCCAGGTGATGTGAGGATTATGTTATCAGAATACTGCCAGTTCAGAAGCTGCAAACCACTTAGTCAAATGGCCTGATTTGAATTAATCCGGGTCATGCTCTGAAGTCAACAGAACAAAGACTCAAAACGGGATTTGAACTCATTAACTATTACATCATAAGTCAATCAATTGACGGTCAATCAAATCCAGGGATGACATGGAAATGATCTAGAAATAATACATGCCAGATCCCATAATCATCAATTATTTTAATGAGTCATTGTGTTGGTACTACTACATGAACAAGAACATCCTGTCTGGTTGACCATCATGTGTGGCGTAAAATGGCCTCTAGAGGGCAGCAAATAATACAGCCAGCAATCTCTGCAAACATTTACAGTTTTAATGGTCTTCTCTCTTTATGGACATTAATGACCATTTAATACAATTATAGCCATGGATCACATTGGGATTTTGTCGGTGGTGTAAAAGTAATACTCATGCTATATTTTCTATAAATTCAAAAGAAGAAATTTCAAGAAATATCACTGACATTAGTCATTAATTCCTCTGAACTGGCAGCTTTGAGGTTGAAAACTGCTTCTGTACCTGGAAACAGAGACCATTGACCGGCATCACATCAAAAACGTATACATGTACACTACCCCTTAGGCTAAGACCATCATCTGATTCATTTGTATTTTCATGGAAAAACAACCAGAAAATTCCACTTTACAGTGGAGTTCTAGATATGTTTTGATTATTACTGTTCTCTGATTCTAACTGCTATGTTATTTCTTTCCTATTCTATTCATAGTCCATATACACATATTTCATTGTCAGCCTGGTTCAGTCAGATTTGCTGTACAATGTGATACTGCAACTTCAATAATTTCCACTAGAGGGTAGTTATAATCATTTTCAGGGGTAAAGAATACGTTGGTAAAACAAATGCATGGGATTTGCTCCTTCTCTATATCACACGAAGAATATCATCCCGTCTCAATACCTAATCTATGGCTAAAATCCTATCATGTCTTGGTAATGACATGTTTGGTGGGTAAAGCCAAGACCTTCAATGAGCTGACAGTAAAGTAAAACAAAATAAGTACTTTGACTAGCTGTCTGAAATAAAATAAGGCAAGAACTGTGAATCACCGTGAATATTTTCAAAGACAAAATCATGATGTTTTTTTTGTTTTGTCTAAATGTTTTTAAGACTGCTGGTATAATCAATCTCTCTCCTAACCTCTAACATACCTCTGGAAATGTCCTCTGCCAGAAACACGTTTGGACACTATGTGAAATTCCTTGAGTATTGTGGAGTCTTCTGAGACAGTTTCTGCAATAAAAAATATCCTGTTACAATAAGAGCTATTGACTTCATTTGAGGCTCATACAGTGAGGGAAAAAAGTATTTGATCCCCTGCTGATTTTGTACGTTTGCCCACTGACAAAGAAATTATCAGTCTATAATTTTAATGGTAGGTTTATTTGAACAGTGAGAGACAGAATAACAACAACAAAATTGAGAAAAACGCATGTCAAAATGTTATAAATTGATTTGCATTTTAATGAGGGAAATAAGTATTTGACCCCCTCTCAATCAGAAAGATTTCTGGCTCCCAGGTGTCTTTTATACAGGTAACGAGCTGAGATTAGGAGCACACTCTTAAAGGGAGTGCTCCTAATCTCAGCTTGTTACCTGTATAAAAGACACCTGTCCACAGAAGCGATCAATCAATCAGATTCCAAACTCTCCACCATGGCCAAGACCAAAGAGCTCTCCAAGGATGTCAGGGACAAGATTGTAGACCTACACAAGGCTGGAATGGGCTACAAGACCATCGCCAAGCAGCTTGGTGAGAAGGTGACAACAGTTGGTGCGATTATTCGCAAATGGAAGAAACACAAAAGAACTGTCAATCTCCATTGGCCTGGGGCTCCATGCAAGTTCTCACCTCGTGGAATTGCAATGATCATGAGAACGGTGAGGAATCAGCCCAGAACTACACAGGAGGATCTTGTCAATGATCTCAAGGCAGCTGGAACCATAGTCACCAAGAAAACAATTGGTAACACACTACGCCGTGAAGGACTGAAATCCTGCAGCGCCTGCAAGGTCCCCCTGCTCAAGAAAGCACATATACAGGCCCGTCTGAAGTTTGCCAATGAATATCTGAATGATTCCGAGGAGAACTGGGTGAAAGTGTTGTGGTCAGATGAGACCAAAATCGAGCTCTTTGGCATCAACTCAACTCGCCGTGTTTGGAGGAGGAGGAATGCTGCCTATGACCCCAAGAACACCATCCCCACCGTCAAACATGGAAGTGGAAACATTATGCTTTGGGGGTGTTTTTCTGCTAAGGGGACAGGACAACTTCACCGCATCAAAGGGACGATGGACGGGGCCATGTACCGTCAAATCTTGGGTGAGAACCTCCTTCCCTCAGCCAGGGCATTGAAAATGGGTAGTGGATGGGTATTCCAGCATGACAATGACCCAAAACACACGACCAAGGCAACAAAGGAGTGGCTCAAGAAGAAGCACATTAAGGTCCTGGAGTGGCCTAGCCAGTCTCCAGACCTTAATCCCATAGGAAATCTGTGGAGGGAGCTGAAGGTTCGAGTTGCCAAACGTCAGCCTCGAAACCTTAATGACTTGGAGAAGATCTGCAAAGAGGAGTGGATCAAAATCCCTCCTGAGATGTGTGCAAACCTGTTGGCCAACTACAAGAAACGTCTGACCTCTGTGATTGCCAACAAGGGTTTTGCCACCAAGTACTAAGTCATGTTTTGCAGAGGGGTCAAATAGTTATTTCCCTCATTAAAATGCAAATCAATTTATAACATTTTTGACATGCGTATTTCTGGATTTTTTTGTTGTTATTCTGTCTCTCACTGTTCAAATAAACCTACCATTAAAATTATAGACTGATCATGTCTTTGTCAGTGGGCAAACGTACAAAATCAGCAGGGGATCAAATACTTTTTTCTCTCACTGTAGATTTGAATAGCTCAGAGTGATTACCGATTGCAGGAACAGGATTTCAGAGCTAAGGGCTTCTCTCAGCAGCTCCAGCTCTTCTTCTTTGTGCATCTCCAGCTCCTTTTTGAGTCTAAGACACATTTGGAATGTTAAGTGTCTGAAAAGCTAGTCTCTCATTACACACCCACGTTAAATGTAACATAAAAAAAGTATCTAACATGAATTGAAGAGTTGGACCAATATTATACAACGGGTGGTTCTAATCCTGAATGCTGATTGGTTAAAACCGCATTCCAGCCGGTGTCTATTCCACAAGTTACCACCGGGTAAGTCTATGACCTTAAAATTGTATGGTTTGCACACTTACACTTTTAAAAAGACAGCACTCATTAAATTGACATGCATTCAATTTCAAACAATCAATAGGTGAGTAAAAAGCGTGATTAATGAACACACTCAAGAGGAATTATCATAACAGTGAGTGGGCTTCAGCTTCCCCAAAAGCCCCACCCTCAGCACATCCTGTGGACTAATCAGGCCGTCAGTAATGAAGGAGATTTGTGGGGACAGAGGAACAGAACATGCTTCCCCCACGTATGATTTAAGAGCAGGAGGAGGCAAACACTTCCTCCCTGGGCTAGATTCGGTATCGATCCATCCTTTTCATTAAGCTCTTCACATGAGAATCGGAGGATGTTCTTTTTTGACCAGATAATACAGGCAACAGATCAAAGCCTTAATGAAAGAGATTGGGGTAATGTTGCTTTATTTAAGCATCCTGATCTGAAGAGTGCCAGAGAGGCAGGATGGGTGCAGGTCCTTTCAGCGCATCTCAAGCAGGATCATTAGCAGGATGAGACAGGAAGACAATAAATGTGCAACGACTTGTGACCCACACACCAAATACCCAGAGCCTTGCTGTTCTGTCAGAATTGCCAATATGATCATTGGTATGTCTGTAAAACACAGTCCTCACGTATATATTGTATATGCTTCCAAGCACATTTGTGCTCTAACTTCTGACTCTATACACAACCCAGGATAAGCCTTGATGTAGCAGTAACGGACCACTCTCCTCACGCAAAACGTTATCCACGCAATTTAGCTAGTCAGTGAGGCTCCAAGCAAGGCAATGGCATCCAGAGTGATTAAGGAGTACATTGCATGTCTCCCACGGTACAGCTGGCCAGTTTGTATGCGCAGTTGATTACCTTAAGCAAGTACTGTCTGTGAGGGGCTTCTGGGTGACCATCAGACTCTCTGCACTTAAGGATTCGGTCATTGATTTAGCCTCATTCAGCTGGCTCTCCAGGTCTGAAATGAACAACGGTTAACGTAAACATTACCTCCACATACCAGTCAGTGTTTCCCTAAAGAAAATGACACTCGGGGATGGATTCAGTTCAGTCTACACATGTTCTACTGTACGTTGTCATTCGGATTGTTTGTTTTAGCTGGTGGTCCTCTGTAGCTCAGCTGGTAGAGCACGGTGCTTGTAACGCCAGGGTAGTGGGTTCAATCCCTGGGACCACCCATGCACAAAAATGTATGCACGCATGACTGTAAGTCACTTTGGATAAAAGCGTCTGCTAAATGGCTTATTATTATTCAAACGTCTCCCTGACAACAGAGCTGGATCAAATCTGTACCTCTCATAATATGTTCCAGTCCTTGTAGCTCCAAATGGAGACCTCTCTTTTCTTCTTGCATAGAGTTCATCCGAGTATTCTTCCGGCCCATGGACTCCATCTCTAAGACAGAATGGAAAATACAGTACAAGTGGTCACCATAAAGCCTCAGGGTTGGTCAGAACAGGGCATGGTTAGTGTAGCATCAGGTTATATCATGTAAATAAATGATTCATTCATAAACTAGCAATACCCAATGGAATACAAAATGACCCTACTTCACATATTAATATAAACAGTGGCTTCTCTACCTTTGTTTAAAGAGTTAACCTCCTCCTCCAAGTTCTGTATCTCAGATTGGGTTTGGCTCTCGAACACAGTCTCCCTGTTATTCAAAAGGCCAAAGTCGCTGTTGAAAGTCATTGTCTCTTTCATGAATTTCTCCTGTTCCTCCTTCGACGACTTCTTTATTTTCTCCTTCAAACATATGAGCACAGTAAAAAAGGTAATTAGGTTAATGTAGCCTAGATCTATTGAATAACAATGTACTGTCATGTTGTATTTGTTTTACGTTTGAGTGTGCTTGAATGCCCTTGACGGGAACCACTCACCAAGTGTTTCCTGAGATCCCTCTGCTGTCTCAAAAGCTCCCCTGCCTGCTTTTCAATTTGTACTTGACGCTTTTTCATTAGGTCATACTGCAGCTTTGTCTCTGATAGATGCTGAGCCTGGAAGGACACACTTTTAGCAGTTCCATAAAACAAAACAAAAACTATACTTTGGTTAGCCTATCATGTTCCATGAAGTTTGATACTTGATTGAACAGTTAATATTCTGAAATCAAGGGAAAATATACATTATCTCTTAAAAAGCTTGTTTATAGGTCATTATAGTAGTTACAATACAGGCACACTGTATTGCCTAGCCTCACCATTCCCCTCACAATATTTATATATATATTTTTTATAAGCCATTCAGCAACAAAAAAAAGGCAAATGGTACCATTAAGGTAATTACATACTACCTGGCTTCAAATGATATAAGCAATTGTGAAGGTTAATTGTGCTTGTGGAAAGCATTGAAAATTACTGTCTAAAATGCATGGCATTCAGGACAATTGGTTACTATGAGTATTAAAGTTACTACAAAGTTAAAAATAAAACAGTAACCTTTAGGTGTCCTGAATATAATGAAGGGAACACTTAAAGAGAGCTTGAAAGTACAGTCTGGCTGAAGACAAATTGATGATTGAGCAAGCCAAGTGTCATAGGCTATGGAACAAAAAACACGAAGTTTGAGCTGTTTCATAATGATAGTGTGATTAAAACACTTTATCATACCTAAAAAAAAGTCCTGCAAATAGTTTTAGCTATCTCCACAAAAGAACATAATTGTCTCCCAGAAACAAACTTGCAGTGAAAGATCACACTATGCAGTCTGAAATATACTGTATCTTATCATTGCAATAGTTGACATGATTAAGCAGAATGATATCTAGTCAAACATGTATATGTATTGTCGTAGTAAATATTAAAATGTTATAGCTTGGTCTGACTAAAATCTTGTGCATGACCCATTTTAATGTTAGGAGCTTGTTTTCAATCAATGCTGTTCCTATGCAAGAACAATGGACAGAGCCAATATCTTCTCAAGGACAACTCCCACGCCACAGGCCACAATCTGGTTGCTCCCCACGAGACTTTCCTTTGAGAACATACACACATTCACACACACATCTCCATGCATACGCACACTCATCCTCATGCCTCACGAGTTACGCACACACACACACTGCACTTTTTTCTACTGGTCGGGTGCCTAGGGCAGAGGACTCTGCCGTGCACAAAATGGGGCTTCTACTCTGGACAGAGCAGACCCGCCTCCTACGCCTCCGGAACCAATCAAGGGACTAGAAGAAGGACCCCTTCCTTTGTGTTGCATTGTATAAAGTAATGCTGAAAACTCTGTTTTTGATCCCTTTTCAACTGTCTCCATAAGAGGCAACTGAAATGGGTCCATGCATGTAGCTTGAGCAGATACCAGCTATCTCTGTGTTTAATAAACTGCCTTTTGCTTAAACATATTCCTCTCCGTCTAGCGTCGTTGGTTCTGTACTTCCTCTCCTGTATGGTTTCACCAACAGTATGCTATTAACCTACAGTGGCTCAATTTAGCATAATCTTAAACATAAGTAAAATAGATGGAGCATATTGACTGAAGCTATACATTGGGGAGAACAAGTATTTGATACACTGCAGATTTTGCAGGATTTCCGACTTACAAAGCATGTAGAGGTCTGTAATTTTAATCATAGGTACACTTCAACTGTGAGAGACGGAATCTAAAACAAAAATCCAGAAAATCACATTGTATGATTTTTAAGTAATTAATTTGCATTTTATTGCATGACATAAGTATTTGATCACCTACCAACCAGTAAGAATTACGGCTCTCACAGACCTGTTAGTTTTTCTTTAAGAAGCCCTCCTGTTCACCACTCATTACCTGTATTAACTGCACCTGTTTGAACTCATTACCTGTATAAAAGACACCTGTCCACACACTCAATCAAACAGACTCCAACCTCTCCACAATGGCCAAGACCAGAGAGCTGTGTAAGGACATCAGGGATAAAATTGTAGACCTGCACAAGGCTGGGATGGGCTACAGAACAATAGGCAAGCAGCTTGGTGAGAAGGCAACAACTGGAAGAAAATGGAAGAAGTTCAAGATGACGGTCAATCACCCTCGGTCTGGGGCTCCATGCAAGATCTCACCTCGTGGGGCATCAATGATTATGAGGAAGGTGAGGGATCAGCCCAGAACTACACGGCAGGACCTAGTCAATGACCTGAAGAGAGCTGGGACCACAGTCTCAAAGAAAACCATTAGTAACACACTACGCCGTCATGGATTAAAATCCTGCAGCGCACGCAAGGTCCCCCTGCTCAAGCCAGCGCATGTCCAAGCCCGTCTGAAGTTTGCCAATGACCATCTGGATGATCCAGAGGAGGAATGGGAGAAGGTCATGTGGTCTGATGAGACAAAAATAGAGCTTTTTGGTCTAAACTCCACTCGCCATGTTTGGAGGAAGAAGAAGGATGAGTACAACCCCAAGAACACCATCCCAACCGTGAAGCATGGAGGTGGAAACATCATTCTTTGGGGATGCTTTTCTGCAAAGGGGACAGGACGACTGCACCGTATTGAGGGGAGGATGGATGGGGCCATGTATCGCGAGATATTGGCCAACAACCTCCTTCCCTCAGTAAGAGCATTGAAGATGGGTTGTGGCTGGGTCTTCCAGCATGACAACGACCCGAAACACACAGCCAGGGAAACTAAGGAGTGGCTCCGTAAGAAGCATCTCAAGGTCCTGGAGTGGCCTAGCCAGTCTCCAGACCTGAACCCAATAGAACATCTTTAGAGGGAGCTGAAAGTCCGTATTGCCCAGCAACAGCCCCGAAACCTGAAGGTTCTGGAGAAGGTCTGTATGGAGGAGTGGGCCAAAATCCCTGCTGCACTTTGTGCAAACCTGGTCAAGACCTACAGGAAACGTATGATCTCTGTAATTGCAAACAAAGGTTTCTGTACCAAATATTAAGTTCTGCTTTTCTGATGTATCAAATACTTATGTCATGCAATAAAATGCAAATTAATTACTTAAAAATCATACAATGTGATTTTCTGGATTTTTAGATTCCGTCTCTCACAGTTGAAGTGTACCTATGATAAAAATTACAGACCTCTACATGCTTTGTAAGTAGGAAAACCTGCAAAATCGGCAGTGTATCAAATACTTGTTCTCCCCACTGTATGTGATATTCAGCTGCAGCCTATACTGTAGTTCAGAGGTTATTGCATCTCATCTCAATGAATGACTCTTTTGATTTGACCCCTGTAATTGCCAATCTTGTTATGTTCCTTTTTGACATGTACAGGAAGTGCTCAACAATATTATGAAAAGTTAATGAATCTATCTTCCACACATAATTCATTTCAAGCATGTTAAAAGGTTGCTTGCTATAATGCTAATGTAATCCTGCGGAAATTAGGAATTGATTTTGTACCGCCACTTGCAATTGATCCACAGTCTCTGATGAGGCCTCTACTAGATTAAGGGTTTTAATCATACAATGAATCACCTCTTTAATGTGTGTCAATATGTATCAATATACTGCACTTAATCTGTCAACACACTCTCTAGGACTAACTAATGTAGCTATTTTACTGTACACCTCTGTAGCCTACATTCACTGTTCAATGAAATGTCTGTTCTTATCTCTGTCACTTCAACAATATTGTGTCACACCATGCTTTGAGGTTTGCTCTCTCACACACATAGGTAATGATAACAGCAGATTCACCTTTTCATCAAGTTCCTTGGAGAGACATTCTGATTTTTCTGTCAATGACTTGACCCTGTCTTGACATCTTGCAATAGCAGCCTTGACTGAAAGAACATTGAAAAATAAAATACAAAAGTGACCTTCATGACAAACACAAGGAGTCACACTCTATCCCCCAATTCCTGCAAAAAGTCCATTGAAAACGAAAAGTTGGCTAATTTAGCTAACATTGCGTCAATAACATCTAGCTAGCTATTAGAAAAGGAAATTCTGGTATGCAGCTCACCCTCTTGAGATAATCGCGTTTTCTCCAATATTTGCTGTTCAGTTAGTAGAATTTCTTGAAACAGAGTATCCAAACTCATATCTTTATCGGAAAAATAGAATATCTAGCTATATTCACTTGTAAATTGTTTATTAAATATGACGTTTGCCAGGACAGCAGTAAAACATACAAGTTTGTTGAGATTCCAGTCGAATTCCCGCCAACAAATGTGCACGTGTTCTATAGCGCGCATGTATACCTATTCTAGAGTGCGCCAGCCTTTTTGATGGCATGAAACTTTTACCAGAAAACCTACTAATATCGTGTCAAATTGAAAATTGTCCTCACCCAAATTGATGTGTGTCTTAGCCCTACAGAAATATGTTGAACCTGGGGTAGCCTAGGGGGCTTTTCATTGTAGCCTATAGGCCTATCACCATGAATACATTCTGTAGGCCTAAACATACTGAGAAATGTCCCAGTGCAGCCATTCTCTCAAGATCGCTTTCATTCATCACAGAGCTGCTTCAATGAACTATTAGTTCTGCCATCCACAGTATTGTTTTGACGTTTGTAAGCACAGTCAGCAATCAATAGCTTTAATTCAGTGCCATTTGCTCCTTCAAGATTTGTCACATAGGCCAATAGAGGCTAATTCTTTACTTTAACCAATTTTCTCCTGAGCACTGCTGGAAAGAATGGTTTTGAGCCAGTGCCATGAAGCACATTAAAGTGTGAATGCCTGCTTCTTTATATGACCAAGACTATATCATTCTGACATTCATTTGCTAAATTAATAGTAAATATTGATTGAGGCTTTTCATAAATCCCTAGGCCTATTTATGTTCCTCCTTATGCATTCACTGAATTTCTGTTGCTATTGTCCAGTAGAATTCCCCTACACTGTAAAAAAAAATATCCTGTTGTTTTTATGGTAACTTACTGCCAGCCAATTACCTGTAAATTACTGTAAAAAAATGTATATTCTGTTACCGTAAATTCCATAGAAACTTTGGTTGAACAGTTAAACCAACATTTATTGGGAATTTATGGTAACACACTGTACTGTGGAAACCTGCTCGTTGTACTTTTTTTTTTTTCAGTAAGTTACTATAAAAAACAACATTTTTTTTTTTACAGTGTAGTTGGCCTATTTTTTTACAGAATCACCCACATCATTTTCTGGGCTACCTAATACAAGAAGATAGGCGTATGTGCACTTAGCTTGCTTCTGTGTTTGTTAAACCGTCATCGGGAGGCAGGTAGCTTAGTGGGTAAGAGCATTGTGCCAGTAATTGGATGGTCGCGTGTTCTAATCCCCGAGCCGACTAGTAGAAAAATCTGTAGATGTGCCCTTAAGCAAGGCATTGAACCCTAATTGCCGATGTAAGTCGCTCTGGATAAGTGACTTGACTAAAATGTTAAATATAAGCCCACTCTCAGACATGCATTTGGTTTATTAAACTTTTTTCAGCAGATTACATGGTCCGTTAATAGTTTGGTGCCAATTCATGCCCAGTTTGGAGGAGCCAACTTTGCCTCACGGGTTTAGTTTCTCCCTATTTGTTATTTTGAGATTACATAAATATATAGTCTTTGTGTATGGGTGGTCCTCTGTAGCTCAGCTGGTAGAGCACGGCGCTTGTAACGCCAGGGTAGTTGGTTCGATCCCCGGGACCACCCATACACAAAAAAAAATGTATGCACGCATGACTGTAAGTCGCTTTGGATAAAAGCGTCTGCTAAATGCCATATTATTGTGTCATTTGAGTTGATAAGGCCATTTTGTTCAATGGTGATTCATTTATAAATGTCATTTCACAAATATAGGCCTAGGCTGAGAGGTTGGTGTGCCTAATGTTACCTCTCTGGAGTAGTGAGTTGGTATGACCCAACCCAGGAGGGTTATCAACGGGTATGTAGCCTATGCCAGTCTTTTTCAGACTTTCAGGGGAAGAGGAATAGTTGGGCGCGTTCCCCTGCTCAGACGTTACATGCATCAACCAATGTTGCGTGCCACGTCATTGACTGTATCATCGACTGATAGATGGCTATAATATATGATGAGGTTAGCTGATACGTAAAATACTTATCCAGGCATTGTCAAATCTGGCAGGCGTCAGCAATGCCTGGTCAACAGTCAATTGGGTCTAATCATAGAAAAGCCCTTTAACATTGCTTCTGTATTTAGCCTAGTGAAGGACTGAAAACTAATCAATAGGGCATGTATTATATATATGTGTTATTCTATGGTCAAAGTTAAAAGTGTAGACCTAATATGGAAAAGTATGTCAAATGAACCTAATAGGCCTAATGAAATATGTTAAAATGTTAATAATCATAAACCACTCCGTTTTTATGATTTGTATAGCCTTCAGATTAATTCAGATAGTTTCATATTACATTAGCCACGTCTAGGCCTGTAGTGATTGCATTATTTATCCTATAATCAGATGCATGTTGAGGCTTTTTTAAACCAACAGATGGCGATATTCACCCATGTTCACCATTTTATACTCGATGTCAAGAGTGGATGGAATGACTGCACTGATGGCTCTACACTCTCAGTTCTCCAAGTATGGTACTGTATGGTTTGCACTGCAGTGAGCAGCACACATCAGACAATTTTGGCTCCGTCTCCTTTTTCATTCCACGATCCATATGGGTGGCGAAAGCGCATCCTGAGCATAACAAACACTACGTCCGCATTAATACGCGACGATCTGATTAGATTTTTCAATATAAAAAAGGGAACAGTGACATGTTTTCATCGAATTGGTGGGAAAGCGCTGCACGTCAACACAGAGATTCAATCGATATTGTACTTGTAGGCTATAGCATATTATCTGTGCGCATGGGGTGGTCTCTCGCTAAAATTAGAGTGTGCCGTTTTGATCGGCCATAGCAGTTTTGGTTTTGACTAAGGTATTTGGGATAGTCCCATAACACTTTTTTAACCTCTACATGTTGTAGCCTACCCATTTAACTCTGTGATCCCAAGAATAATGGAATATTGTAAATTATAATGGGGTAGCCTAGTCCTAGGGAATGAATCAAGACACTAGGATATTTTGATTAAATTTAATGCAGAATCAACCATTGAAACTTTTGCAAATAGTGTCATACCCTATGTTTTCACAAATAAGATATTGCTCACATCGACACTGTATTCCAGAAATATAATATGTCTGAAAGTTTGAATTGATCTACGAAATCCACGTTGAAACACAGAAGTTGCACTGGCTTGCCGCTGGTGCCTGGTTGTGGTTACTGCACTATTGAGCAGTGGGCTACAGCATCATCGCGCGCTCAGACACACGCGGACATCCTACTAGCTGGAGTTCCGAGAGCACTCGGCCGTTCGTTTTGTCTCCTTGTGATCTCTTATCCTAGTCTTTTATTTAGTTTTTGCACGGAAAGGAAATCATTCTTTGGTTGATGGTATCGGTTGACTGTCGCAAAAGCGGAGTACTTTTGGGTCGGAATGTTTTATGCATGAAGTCAGCTTGATGTCTTCTGTAGCCTATGTCGGACCTCATCCCCCCGATATTTTCAATGGATTTGAATAGAGTGGAAATACCTTGTCAATAAAATCACGTTTTTTTTCTATACGTTCTATAAATTCCATTGTAACAAGGCATCATACGGATAGAAACGCAATGATCTTCGTCACTCTTTATGTCGTTCTGCCTCTTTTAGGTAAGTTTTAGTTTCTCAAGGCCTATTACTTATGACTATGACTAATATATACTGTAAATGCAGAGTATATACATTTTTAAATGGACAATAATAAGCAATCAGAGGGCAGCTGAGATAAATACATAGGAAACCTATAGTGATCGTTGTGGAGAGAGATGGGCCACCGTAATGCGGGCCATGCCCACTGACTAGTGAAAAATCAATTACGAGCTCATGTGGCCTAATCGAAGTGAACTGAGTTCTAATTCTGTAATACACACAACTAAATACAGTGGCATTTCATTATCCGTCTCTCATGCATAGCCTATATACCCTACCATAGCCTACATTGCAAAAGCAAAAGCATAACACGTTTTACGCGTTTCATATTTAATAACTTTACTTGTCCTCAGCTGATTTATTTAATATTGCACAAATGTATAGGGTATGCCATACGTTGATTGCTATGTCTGTGAGGAGTAGCCTATATGAGATGTTGTGTTGTTGTTATTGTCACGGAGTTGCGCACTAAAATACGCTCAGTACAACGTTAATATGTTAATCTCTAAAGCAGCTTTCATATGGCTTAATCTCTGAATATTTATTGTGACTAAATCCTGGTATAGCCTACAATATTTAACATTTAAACGACATAAACATGATTATTATTATTATTATTATTATTATTATTTATTCTCCCCACACAGATGTTTTGTATGCCCAGGAGAATGTCCTTTCTGGTCCCAACCGCCTCGACTGTGTCAAGGCGAGTGAGCAGTGTATGAAGGAGCAAGGATGCAGCACCAAGTATCGGACAATGAGACAGTGCGTTGCTGGGGGGAAGGAGAGAAACTTTAGCATGGTGGCCGGACTGGAGGCGCAGGACGAATGTCGGAGTGCCATGGATGCACTCAAGCAGAGCCCCCTGTACAACTGCAGGTGTAAAAGGGGTATGAAGAAAGAGAAGAACTGCCTTCGCATCTATTGGGGAATCTACCAGACTTTGCAGGGTATGCACTTTGGTATCATTGCAGTTGGCTACAACATAGCAAGCACACATTGTCAGAAGTCAATCTGATGTTAATCAATGGTAAAAAAAACAACATTTCCCAGACCTGCTTTATGAGTAATGTATTAATGGACCATGTAAACTGCTAAAGCAATACAGTTTCAGGGAGAAAACACCACATTATTAGGTGCGTAACTTTCCCGCCCGTGCGTAATGGGAAAGGAGGGGGGTAATGTCCTTAAAAATATATCTTAGAATGAATCGAGTGTAAAGCCCGTTGGCATTCGTTATCTTCGAGTAGATCTTACACAAAAATTGTACTGCCTAATGCCAGTGACCAGTGGGGCATTAGGGGTTCTCAGTTGTGCAACTGACCAATATGCCTAATCAACCGTAGCCTAACGAGTAGTAGGGCGTCATGGAAATTGACTGACCTAGATACCCATCTCATGTGTATACGCATGTGAAGAGATGACAAGCCATGGTAGCTTACAAACATTTAGTGAAAACAATAACCTTTAAATAAAATATATCTATCTATATGTCTGTATGTCTGTCAGTCTGTCAGTCTGTCTGTCTATCTATCTAGCTTGTTGTCTTCAACATTTACATGCCTATTAACACTGCAACAGTATGTTAAAAATCACATTGTTTTTAAATATTCCTTTCAGGGAACGATTTCCTGGAAGACTCTCCTTATGAGACCATGAATAGCCGGCTGTCTGACATATTCCGACTGGCCCCCATTATTTCAGGTAAGGACATGGATTTATTTAGAGTTAACTATGGTGCAACTTATTTCAAAGTTCACGAACGGACACTTGGCTTCATTGTGAAAGTATATAGATGAAATGCTGGCTGTGCATGTTCTTAGTGCAATTGTGTTTCTAATTTTGTACAATCCTCACACTTTCCCTCTTTCGCCCCAATGAAATGCATGCCCATTGTTAGTGAACTTGCACGGGGAGCTATAGTTCTGAGTGTTCGCTGAGTTGGAAAAATTGAAAAATGGGTCAGGTTGGAGCATAGTTCATTGGGCTGTGTTTAAATCGTACAACGTCAACAATTCGATCTGAATTGTGATGGTCATATCAAATCGATCATGAATGCGGGAGAGGTATCACATAGGACACCCGTTACACGCGTTGGTGGAGTGAGTTTATGTTAAATTATGAGCCGCCTCTAGATGGCAATCTTTTCCCTTGTTCACGATCGCACAGGTGCTATCCATGGAAGCTATAGTGGCCTTTCTGACTTTACCTTGGTCTTAATATGTCTTCGTTGTGAGAAACTCCAATTCAGTGCTCTTGAGGTGGCGTATTGTGTGGCAGGTGATGGAGAATAAGAGAGCTTGATATGATTTGCAATGGGATTGTGAATATGAAGGGGAATTTAAGTAATCTTTTCATACATTTCCTGCCCTAATTAAATGGCCAAGACTGTAGCACTGAGCAAAAGTATTGTTCTCGCCTTGAAAAGGAATCACCTGTTATTATGTCCCTTGTGGACATACTTTTGTCAATAATATAGTAGGCCCACAAAAGTATGTGGACACCTGCTCGTTGAACATCTCATTACAAAATCATGGGCATTAATATGGAGTTGGTCCCCCCTTTGCTGCTATAACAGCCTCCACTCTTCTGGGAAGGCTTTCCACTATATGTTGGAACATTGCTGCGGGGACTTGCTTCCATTCAGCCACAAGAGCATTAGTGAGGTCGGGCACTGATGTTGGGCGATTAAGCCTGGCTCGCAGTCGGCGTTCCAATTCATCCCAAAGGTGTTCGATGGGGTTGAGGTCCGGGCTCTGTGCAGCCAGTCAAGTTCTTCCACATCGATGTTGACACATCATTTCTGTATGGACCTCGCTTTGTGCACGGGGGCATTGTCATGCTGAAACAGGAAAGGGCCTTCCCCAACTGTTGCCACAAAGTTGGAAGCACAGAATCGTCTAGAATGTAATTGTATGCTGTAGCGTTAAGATTTCCCTTCACTGGAACTAAGGGTCCTAGCCCAAACCATGAAAAACAGCCCCAGACCATTATTCCTCCTCCACCAAACTTTACAGTGGGCACTATGCATTCGGGCAGGTAGCGTTCTCCTGGCATCCACCAAACCCAGATTAGTCCGTCAGACTGCCAGATGGTGAAGTGTGATTCATCACTCCAGAGAACGCATCTCCACTGCTCCAGAGTCCAATGGCGGTGAGATTTACACCACTCCAGCCGACGCTTGGCATTGCGCATGGTGATCTTAGGCTTGTGTGCGGGTGCTCGGCCATGGAAACCCATTTCATGAAGCTCCCAATGCACAGTTCTTGTGCTGACGTTGCTTCCAGAGGCAGTTTGGAACTCGGTAGTGAGTGTTGCAACCGAGGACAGACGATTGTTACGCGCTTCAGTACTCGGTGGTCCCGTTCTGTGAGCTTGTGTGGCCTACCACTTCGTGGCTTAGCCGTTGTTGCTCCTAGACATTTCCACTTCACAAAAACAGCACATAAAGTTGACCGGGGCAGCTCTAGCAGGGCAGAAATTGGAAGAACTTACTTGTTACAAAGGTGGCATCCTATGACGGTGCCACGTTGAAAGTCACTGAGCTCTTCAGTACGGGCCATTCTACTGCCAATGTTTCCCATGGAGATTGCATGGCTGTGTGCTCGATTTTATACACCTGTCAGCAATGGGTGTGGCTGAAATAGCCAAATCCACTATTGGCCATGAAGTGTACATGTATATAACCTGGAAGCATAGACAATTATGGATGTTCCTTTAGTGAATTATTTTTTGTATATTGATCGCTAAATGGACTAAATCAAGGGGCAATTTTGGTAAGTCATCAATGGCGAAAGAGAGACATAAACTGCAGCAACATGATGTGTCCTTGAGCAAACCAAGAGAGACCCAAGTAACGTTTCTAGGACAATGACTCTAATTTCAGAAAAGTGGAAATGACACATTAGTCATTATAGATGCCTGTCAGAATACAGCCAAACATCTAAGCAAAATGAAATGTCTAGCTTCTTCGGAGCATAGTTCATATCAAGGCAAATAACAGCCCCAGACATTTTCCCCTCTGAGTTACCAGAACAGAAATATTTATAGGAAAACACTCAGCATCTGAAGGTGCTCCTTATTCCCCTTTGAAAAGCTATTTATGTTGATTGAGGGTTGCACATTTATCTCTTAGCTACGGGTCCCACAGATCATCCCTCCCTGCTCATCATGGGGGATTTAAGGGCCAGGCAGGGTGAGAGGGAGACCCTATGGGTGAGATGGGTGACAGGACGGGTGTCAGGGAGGTTTAGGTCAACAGTGCCTCCCACAGGCCCTACTTCCAGGCAGCCCTATAAAATGGCTGTCTCCGTAAGGCTGAGAGGACTCATAGATCATCTGACTGATTCATAGTGGGGAACAAAGGGAGGCATTGTGAGATGTAATGAATCTGTAATAGGCCACTGCTTTGGCCCTGAGCCTCATAATCTCCAGTGACACTCTGGTCATTCTCCTCAGCACCCTCCTGATTATAATGAGGTTTATTCCTGATCTTTCCTACACACTGACCCCCAGGTCCCAATGTCCCCATTCCCACCTCCACTCTGGATACTGTAGGCCTCTGATGGACTGAACCAAACATAAAGCTGGAACAATAACAGTGAAGCTTATAGGGTACACAGCTGCCTTAAAGCACACTGGCTGTCCTTTATTAAGTCACATGAGAATAGAATGGAGTAGTATTAAAACAGCAGCTCAAATGTGTGAGGACGATGTGGAAAGCCCTGAGCGTGATTGCATGGACACACACACACCTGCGCACACACATACACACACACACATGCTTGCGCACAGTGTACTGACAGCCACACACGCCCTATCAATGATTTTTTATGGAAGAGGCAAGCAGGCAGGAGCCATTCGGGGCAGTCCACAGCTCAGGAATAAGGCTCTCTTCCATAATGTCTGGGACAAAGACACATACTGCACACAAATACACACACACACACACACACACACACACACACACACACACACACACACACACACACACACACACACACACACATACAGTTGAAGTCGGAAGTTTACATACACTAAGGTTGGAGTCATTAAAACTTGTTTTTCAACCACTCCACAAATTTCTTGTTAACAAACTATAGTTTTGGTAAGTCGGTTAGGACATCTACTTTGTGCATGACACAAGTAATATTTCCAACAAGTGTTTACAGACAGATTATTTCACTTATAATTCACTGTATCACAATTCCAGTGGGTCAGAAGTTTACATACACTAAGTTGACTGTGCCTTTAAACAGCTTGGAAAATTCCAGAAAATGATGTCATGTCTTTAGAAGCTTCTGATAGGCTAATTGACATCATTTGAGTCAATTGGAGGTGTACCTGTGGATGTATTTCAAGGCCTACCTTCAAACTCAGTGCCTCTTTGCTCGACATCATGGGAAAATCAAAAGAAATCAGCCAAGACCTCAGAAAAAAAATTGTAGACCTCCACAATTCTGGTTCATCCTTGGGTGCAATTTCCAAATACCTGAAGGTACCACGTTCATCTGTACAAACAATAGTACGCAAGTATAAACACCATGGGACCACGCAGCCGTCATTACGCTCAGGAAGGAGACTTGTTCTGTCTCCTAGAGATGAACGTACTTTGGTGCGAAAAGTGCAAATCAATCCCAGAACAACAGCAAAGGACCTTGTGAAGATGCTGGAGGAAACGAGTACAAAAGTATCTATATCCACAGTAAAACGAGTCCTATATCGACATAACCTGAAAGGCCGCTCAGCAAGGAAGAAGCCACTGCTCCAAAACTGCCATAAAAAAGCCAGACTACGGTTTGCAACTGCACATGGGGACAAAGATTGTGCTTTTTGGAGAATGTCCTCTGGTCTGATGAAACAAAAATAGAACTGTTTGCCCATAATGACCATCGTTATGTTTGGAGGAAAAACGGGGTGACTTGCAAGCCGAAGAACACCATCCCAACCGTGAAGCACGGGGGTGGCAGCATCATGCTGTGGGGGTGCTTTGCTGTAGGAGGGACTGGTGCACTTCACAAAATAGATGGCATCATGAGGAAGGAAAATTATGTGGATAGATTGAAGCAACATCTCAAGACATCAGTCAGGAAGTTAAAGCTTGGTCGCAAATGGGTCTTCCAAATGAACAATGACCCCAAGCATACTTCCAAAGTTGTGCCAAAATGGCTTAAGGACAACAAAGTCAAGGTATTGGAGTGGCCATCACAAAGCCCTGACCTCAATCCTATAGAACATTTGTGAGCAGAACTGAAAAAACGTGTGCGAGCAAGGAGGCCTTCAAACCTGACTCAGTTACACCAGCTCTGTCAGGAGGAATGGGCCAAAATTCACCCAACTTATTGTGGGAAGCTTGTGGAAGGCTACCCGAAGCGTTTGATCCAAGTTAAACAATTTAAAGGCAATGCTACCAAATACTAATTGAGTGTATGTAAACTTCTGACCCACTGGGAATGTGATGAAAGCAATAAAAGCTGAAATAAATCATTCTCTCTACTATTATTCTGACATTTCACGTTCTTAAAATAAAGTGGTGATCCTAATTTACCTAAAACAGGGAATATTTACTAGGATTAAATGTCAGGAATTGTGAAAAACTGAGTTTAAATGTATTTGGCTAAGGTGTATGTATACTTCCGACTTCAACTGTATATACTGAGTGTACAAAACATGACATAGACTGACCAGGTGAATCCAGGTGAAAGCTGTGATCCCTTATTGATTTCACTAGTTAAATCCACTTCAATCAATGTAGATGAAGGGGAGGAGACAGGTTGTGTATGTGTGCCATTCAGAGGGTGAATGGACAAAACAAAAGATTTAAGAGATTTTGAACGGGGTATGGTAGTAGGTGCCAGGTGCACCTACTACCAAGTTAATTAAATTATTTTCAAATATTTTCTCCAGGCAGTCAGGGTGAGTCACTTCCCACTGGGCAAAAATTGGTTGAATCAATGTTGTTTCCACGTCATTTCAACCAAAGATGTATATGTGAAGACTCTGAATTAACGTGGAAAACTGATTGGATTTGCAAAAAGTTTTCAACGTAAGGGAATTTATTTTTTCATCCAACCTTTAAACTTAATCCAATGACATGGTGACATCTTTTTTTGATTTCATGTTGAATTCACGTAAATTGACAACTCAACCAAATGTAAATCAAAACTAAACATTGAAATGACGTCTGTTCCCAGTAAGTCAGTCTCATAATGTGGTGGAAGTTGCCACATGAGAAACTTCATTTGAAGAACAGAACCCAATCTCATTTTGATTTGACTTCGATTTTCAATTTCAGTCACATTGACAAAAATACTTTAATAACATCTTGAAACACAAATGAATTAAATCAGCAGATCGCGAATTGGGCCTTCTTTTATGCAACACTCATTTATCACATCAGTGTCCACAAGATGCTTTGAGGCTGTAGCTGAGTTATGTGTTTCTTCTTCTTCTTCTTCTTCTTCTTCTTCTTCTTCTTCTTCTTTTTCTTCTTCTTCTTCTTCTTCTTTTAATACAAGCGGTGCAGCTTGTTTTTTTCCCCTCCATTTCCTTACAGAAACCCTAAGTCTCTCTCAGGGAGAACTACCTGTATTGATGTCTGTGTTTCCACTCGATTAAATGGCTCATTAAATGCTTCTGGGCTTCCGGTGTCTGCAGAGCTCATTGCTTCTTATTAGCAAGAAGTGCCATGCTGTTGTCTGTGTGCCAGGCTAGGTTATTGGTGAAACATACTTAATTTGGAGTGGTTCCTGGGTCAAGGGTCACAAAAGCCACAACTGCTGTCATAGGACAGACATGGTAGGTCATTTCAATCAAGGGAAATGGTTTACTCACACAGAGAGGTGGAATGCTCATTGATGAAGTACCAGAACATTGAATTTGTTTTGTACATTACTTTGTGTGTATGTTGGCATGTTTGCATGTGTGTATGGGTGTATGTGTGTACGTGTGTACGTGTGTACGTGTGTATGGGTGTATGTGTGTATGTGTGTGTATGGGTGTATGCCTGTACGTGTGTATGTGTGTATGGGTGTATGTGTGTAGGTGTGTATGTGTGTATGGGTGTATGTGTGTACGTGTGTATGCGTGAGCGAAAAAGCGAACAAGGAAGAGCATTTCATGAAATGGTTCCTTTTACACCCACCAGTTTGCCATCTTGTAATGCACTGATCCATAGAGAAGGCAGTGAGAACCCATTTCTCCCAGATTCAAGTGGACTTGCATTACTCCCAGGCCATTTGCCCCTGCCCAAGAGGCAAGCAGTGGAGTAAATGGATGAATACACAGCACAGTTTCATATGAACGTATTCAGGAACACTCACTGGTCTGGAGCCTTTCATACTGACCAATGTGCATACTTTTATTTTCCTCGATCTTAAGAACTAGAATAACTAAAGGTTTGTTTGCTGTATGTGTGGCGTAACATTGGAGGTTGACTCATGAAAGTGTACACTCATTGGAGGTTGACTCGTGAAAGTGTACACTCATTGGAGGTTGACTCATGAAAGTGTACACTCATTGGAGGTTGACTCGTGAAAGTGTACACTCATTGGAGGTTGACTCGTGAAAGTGGACTGTAGCTTTAAACTGAAGAAAACTAAAATAAGTTATTAAATGGTCTGGCTTATCGCCACGGAAATATAGCTACGGTACAATCACTCTGTTTGTAGATAAAGCCCCTTTAAATGTCAGACTATTGTCATTTAATGTTCAGTGCGCCAATGAGAAAAATGAAACCGGGGGAAAAATGTGACACAAAATGGAATAGTGAGTCTGGTGTGCAGGAGGGGCTGGTTGGACTGAAATTGCCTAAATGATGAGGTAGCGGTGAAGAAAGGATAAGGACATCAACAAATCTGTGAAGTACTACTATGAATAAAGATTAGTTTCTATATCACTCCATTATTTTCTGAGACCTGTAGATGACCTTTCCCTGTTAAGTTTTGTGGTTTGAGCTGATGCCGTATCAGGATGATGATTATGAGGTTAGCGCATAAACCCACAACTTGGCATTACAATTATTTTAATTTAAGGGTGGCTGTATTTGGGATAAAATCAGATTCTGACATTGTCTCCTAATTTCCTTGTGTCCTTACGTTTATTTAGTTCTCCTTCCTCTTTCCATTTTTTCCCCTCCGGCATAAATCGTTAGAAACTATGCTTTGGAAAATACTAAAAGTATAATTTGCTGCTCAGAAGCAGTATTTTGTCTCATTCTGTCAAACTGGAGCCAATCCTGTGCTCTCTCTCTCTCTCTCTGAAGTCCTCGACCTTGAGCTGCGTATGTGTGAAAACATCAGTAGTAGTCCCAACCTTGCAGACAGACCACACAACACCTTAAATCCCTGTACTGACACGATGCTGAGAGCCTGTCAACACAGCTCACTGCTGTTGGAATGCCACTCTAATAATGAACTCAGAGCCCAGCAGTGTATGAGAACAGACTGCCGCTAGGGGTTCTTATAGAGTGAGAGGAGGGAGAGCCCACTGGGTACACACTGGTTAAATCAACGTTGTTTCCACATAATTTCAATAAATTAATTAAAACCAACTTGGAATAGACGTA